AGTGCGTGTGTGCGACCGTGCCGGTAGCCCAGCCAGCGGCCGACTGCCCGACCACAGCAAGCCGGCGGTCCGGCCATCCAGTAAGTCGGCCAGTTCAGACCAGTTACTTGAGCAGTTCAGGACTCAATGACCCAGTCCCAGTTCAGTCAGTTCAGTTAATCCAGTCAGTTCACTATTTCAGTTCAATTTAGTATTTTTAGTCTAGTCAATTCAGTTCAGTGTTTCCAGTTCAGTACAGATTTATTAGTCAAGTCAAAGCCCGAAATTATTTCAGTAAATCCAGTTAAATATTTAAGTTCGAGTCGAGCATCTTAGCAGTTATTTGTAATCAGTCTGAGCATAGTAATTAAGTTTGTTTATTATATATATTTCTACAGTCTGATCAGCAACAACACCTACAGTTTCAGACTAGCAGTTCAGGTGGGTACTCAGACTGAGTATTACATTGAGTATAATAACAACTATCATGTTCAAGGTATGTATATCCAGTTCCGCTTAGAATGGTGGCCAGTTCAGGTGCGTAATTCCATTCTGAGTTCTAGTGGCCTAATCTGCCTACTAGGGTGTGCACATGGGTTCGGATGCACATGTTTAACCGGTTGACGATCAAGAATAAATATTTTTGAGAAATTCTATATATCGAACATGGCGCTACAATCTATCCTCCTTAAAATATTTCCGTCCTCGGAAAAACGAAGAACATGCATCTAAAGGAAAACGACAGACTCGAACAGAAATTATCAATCATGAGATCCAAGTATCTCCTCCGGAATCTGATTCCGCTTGCATTAGTCCTATCACCCTATACTCGAAAAGCATACACTCACATACATGACCCACTCCGACTCGCCCTATTCTCATATGTATACCTTCTTGCATGAGAGGATGATCAATCCTGCCCGAGCTCAGGCGCACATCCTCTTGCAAGGAACCCAGTCCGGCATGGCCTATACCTTTGACTATCAACAATTAACTTCGTACCTAACAACACACAAGACCTCCACAGGTCGTTCGGTGTATTGCCATCGTACTCCGACTATCTCACCAACAAGGTGGACATGTAACACCAAGTTTCAGTCTCGTGTCCGATTTATATTGATAACTTGCTCACAGTTTTATCACGGACCGTGTGTCTCCATCAGAGGCTATGACACGGTACCACAAATACAACACGACACTATCATGCTCGCAATACGTATGACCCAAGATGCTCATACTCTCAAGGTATCGACTCCATGAGTCGAATGCTGCTCTTATGTGTAAATATAAAGATTGACCAATAGCAATACGACATTCCCAATTTGCCCACTTGAGAAACTCTCAAATAAGGCATATGGACTCATTGACTACTCTCTTTAATCAGAAATCATTGATTAGGGATTTACACACATTTAGTGGGACTTGGAGCTCTCGCTTCAAGGCTCGGACGAAAGGGGTTCAAAAGGATAACCAAGTATTCCAGCATGAAACGGTTTGAACGGTTCAGGAAAAACATCGATGGTTGGCCGTAAACGCTGGCCTGGGGAGTTTGTGCGTTCGGTGACGGCGGCTGCAGTTCGCATGCGAATCAACAGTCGGCCGCGCGCAAGCCTCCCGTCTCTCAGCATGACTGTGCGTGCTCAGAAACCATTTCACGTGGCTACACCAGCCAGGGCCAGCATTTGGTTCAAGGTTTCACAAGAAGGTTACAATCTCAGATCACCAAAAAGGAATGGTTTGACAAATTAACGAGAATTTTGGGTCCAATATATATTTAAGTCGTTTCACAATTACAAATGTTTCAAAAGTCTCAAAATTAGCAAGGGGCATGTTCGAGCTCCAAGTCCACCAGCTCTTCAAAACGAGACACTCTAATACGCGAAGAGATCAACGATTGAGAAAGACGAGAATTCTCAAAGAGATTCTAATACGGTTATTCAGTCGGGAATAATCCCAGATCAGTAGCTCTTACCGAGAAATACAATAACTAGTTCGCCTCGATTTTCCTAACTATCAGAGTCGGTCGTCACGTGGGCTCTCCCAAAACTCTAAAAGAAGTAAAAGGACGGGATTTTCTAGAGACTACGATGAACAAAATTCAAAACTAAGAAGGTTCTGCACTTCCGGATGTGCTTGCTCCGGGCCCATCTAACCTCCTTAAAAGATTTCTACATAATATTTTAAGGTGGAATGAAACACTCCTTGATATGCATCAAATTAATCCACATTTCTTATCGAACCGATTTGTGTTGGCTTCTACACCTGCACGTTCACCTCAATGACGAGCGTGAATAATTATTGTCTTCCTCGAGGGTAGGTTATTCAAGAAGGTGGCGATAGAAAATTGCGCCCTTGAGTCTTCGTGATAACTTAGAGATGATATCGCGAAGAAAATCATATACTCTGCAAACACAATAAGACAAGCAGAACAAAAAGGTGCTTAATCTTACTTGCAATCGGGTTTTTCAAAAGCAAGGCCAATACCCAACTTAAGATAAATAAGAATTTACTAAAATTCAAGAGGAACGAAATTTAGAGTTGGGAAGCTTGAAAAATTGCTTGCACAGTGAAACCAAGGTAGAGGTTTAAACACGGGTATACCCCAAATAAAACGAGAAAAGAACTAGGTCGATCGCAAACCTCCGGTGTTAATTGCATTCACACGAACTGTAACGATACTCGCTTTCTTGAACTTTCTGCATCGAGTTAGAGTTATCGCAAAACAATTTTTAAAAGATCAGGATCCATAACAAATATCGATGCTCAATTCTATCTGAAGCTGTATGCCAGGAAGGGAAAGATCAAGCAAATTATCAAAACACGAAAATTGGATAACGAAAGAAGCTTCGAGCATAATTAAAAATTTCTTGCCATACAAAAACACAAGGGTTAGCAAAAGTCCACGAGTCCACGATTTACCGCCTCCTTCATCGGTTCAAGTTGTTCCCGGTAAATCCTACTGCTGCTAGGAAATCGCTCGCGGCTTAATATACTGAAGAGGATTTTTGCAAAAGAATAGATCATTCTCTCCATTGACTGGGTTCTAATCACGCATCTAATGGTCCTATCGACAATGGTTACAGACTCTCGAATACCCAAACAACTGGGATTCCTTTGGTCGTCTGCTCCCTTCATTTAAGCCTTCTCCTTTCGATATGACATTGTGAATGCTCCTCACTTAAGGACACTAAGTTTTATAATGAGAGCACTGCTACAAACAAAATTCAACTCGATAACATTATATCGTATTCCCAAACAAACAAATTCTCAAGTCGGAACTTAACTCTATACCGCTAGAGTTCAAGTTCATACAACTAAGTTCACCACTCGTCTAGAGTTCAAAATTTTTTAAAAGCAGGAGAATAAATTGATGAGTGAATAGAAAAGAACGTTTGTTCGAACCGTGTGTTAGGATTCGTGAGAGTTCGATCATGCAATTTTAAAATCGAGGGAGCAAGGCTAACTACCGAGTGAAATCAAGTATCGTGAGAGAGTTAGGCTAATAACCGAGTGAATCATACCTATCCGTCGAGAGCGAGTCGTGGCGAGGCTGTGTTCGAGGCAAGCGAGTGGAACAAAACACACGATCCTTCATCATTCGTGCTTTCATTGAGAGTGATTGATTGTGTGTTTCGTTATACTTTTTCTATCCCATTCTTTTTTCTATTTGTCCGATTTTTCCCCCTCTTGTTCGAATTTTTTTTAATTTCTTTTCTTTTTTTTCGAAAATTTTCGTGAGTTATGTCCAAAAAAAAAAAAAGAGAGTCATGATGTTTGAGCCATTAGATGAGATGGATTTGGAGGATCTCGAGTTTTTGGAAGGATTGGAAAGAGAGTTAACTCCATGGGAGCAAAAATATTTGGAGGAGTTGCACGAGTGAAGAGATCTCGAGGAAAAGCTCAAACGACAACTCAAGATCATGGAGGGATTCGTCAACGAAGAGCCCATATTGGAAATAGATCTACCAAGCTATGTTGAAGACAAGGTCACCGAGTTCGTGGTCGAGCGAGTCGAGTCTGAGGATCCATCTTCATTCAGCGACGTGCTCATGGACGAAGAAGTGGCTCACATCGAGATCGAGGCCAAAGGAGCCGAAGTGGTCGAAGTCAAGGAGGAGTCGTTCGTTGAGGTTGATAGGAGCGAAGAAGAGGTGTCGCACTTTGACGTCGAGGATGCCGAGATCGAGGTAGTCATGGTCGAAGAGGGCCTTGGCGAGGAGATGCACATGATGGTCGAGGCGGCCGAGATCGAAGAAGGAGTGCCCGATGTTTGGATGGTCGAGGATGAGTCCTTGAGGGCAAGCACATTCTCAAAGGGGGTGGCAATGATACGGAAGTGGGTTCCGGACCCCGGCGACAAGAAGGGCCAAGAGCCGAGACAACCCGATGAGGCCGAAAAAGAGCCAAAACGATGCATGCATGGCCTAAAAGATGGGTACGAGCTGGTATGTGAGGTCGCGCATGGAGGTGCGCGAAGGCACACGAGAAGATGGTCCATAGGCATACGACATTCGGGCGCAAGAAAGGGCGCATTCAAGAAGGATGCGCACACGCGCATTGGCGTAGGCACGCATGGCGCTTGGAGGTTAGGTGAAGTGGCGCGCAGGGGGAGGTTGTTGGGTGGATGGCGCGCGAGGGGGGTTGCTGCAGATTGACGGGCTCGCATCGAGCGATCGGCGATGCGCGGGCATTAGAAGCGCTAAGTGTACGCGGGTGCACGGCAGGCGAGCAGGCCACGGGAGTTGACTGGGACGTGCATGCGTTTGGCGGCGAAGCAGCGAGGCGCGATAGGCACGCAAGTGGAGGTCACGCGGGCGAAGGCCTAGGCCTTGCAGGCCTAGGAATGGCAGGCGCGCAGCAGCACGCGCGCGAGGAACTCGGCAGGGATGGGGCACGCGCATTGGCGCACGATTGGAGTGCAGACGCGGGTAGAGGCCTAAGCCTCGCGGGCTTAGGAGAGCTGGGCGCACACGCGCGGGAGGAAGGCGGCGGACGCGGGGAGCGCGCGATGCCACGAGCGTACGATGCAGATGACCCATGCCGCATATGAGTAGGAGAAGCGGAGGCGGCGGATGATGCGTGGGAGGCGCGCTGATACGGAAGTGGTCATCAAAGCAGGCGAGTCGGAGGATGAAGGTGGCGACAATCTCAACATATGGTTGGAGAACATGCTAGAGGAGCCTACAAGTCCGATTTATCTGCCATCATGTGTACGAGATTGGCCAAAAGGATGTGGTCCAAAGTTGAAGGTGAAGGCTCAGAAACGCAAGGCCAAGCAAGCCTGAAGGAAACGCAAGGCAAAGGCTAAAGAAGGGCAGTGTTGGTGCAAGCCTTGTGCGAGGAAAAGGCGAGTATGGAAGATGGAAGCTCGAAGGAGAGGTAAGCAACGGATGGAAGATGGTTGGATTTTGCGAGCTGGAGATTGTATTGGGTTGGATGGTTGGGACCCATGGCCATCGGGCGAGCACTTGGAGTCAGTTGGTGACAAGGGTGCGAGCACGAGCGAAGAACGCGCATCGTGCCGTGATGCGCGCAAGGGGTCGAAGGGTCGAGACGTTGCACGGAGGAGCGGCGCCGAGATGCTGGATGCGAGTGACGCACGATGGTGCGCAGGAGGTGAGCAGGCCACGAGGATCGGCGATACACACGGAGCGGCTGGCGCACGCGGGTGCGAAGTAGGCGATTGGAGCACCGGCGGGGGCGAGACGTGCGAAGTAGAGGATCAAAGCGTGGGTGTTGGCAGTACGCGCAACACAGCGGGTGCACGAGGATGCGTGGTAGACGAGCAGGCCAAGGAGACTGGCGGCACGCGCGGAGCATCAGGCGATGGGCGTGCGGGGCGCGCTGGGCGCGCGAGTGGTGAGGACGCAGGCAACCGCCTAGGCCTTGAAGGCTTAGGATCATCGGGGGCGCACGCGTGCGAGGAAGTCGGCTATGGCACGGGGTTCGCAGGCAGCGGCAAGTGGGGCGACGCGGGCGATGGCCTATGACGTGTAGGCGAAGGAGTAGCGGGTAACGGTGCGGACGCGCGCGGGAAGGATGGCAACAACGGGGAGCACGCAATAGCGCACGAGTGCAGCACAGGCGCGGACGTCCTAGGCGGGGTAGGATTAGGCGACGTACGCGAGGGGGATGCACACGCAGGTACGGGCGGCATGGACGAGGTGCGCGCTAGGGCGCGCGCGTGCAACAACGACAAGGCGCGCGATGCCTCGCGCGCCAAGGAGTAGGAAAGCACCGAAGGCAGCGCGTGACGCGTATGGAAGGCGGCGAGAGTAATTGGGGCGTGTGACTTGGGCATCAAGCTACTTGGTGTGCAATTCAAGACATTAGAATTACAGTAATATTAGGATTTTATTTCTTTCTAGTGTTAGGATTTCTATTATTGCAAGATTTAGGAGATCTTTATCTACTAGGCTTAGATTTATTTTTGCACCTATAAATACCCCATGTACTCTTCATAATTAAGAGAGTTGAATGTTGAGTCTTGAATTGGTGAGCCAATTGTGAGGGGGAACCGTTGTTCTTACGTGTGTTTAAACAAGGCCGTTAGTGCGTGTTTAAATACAACATCGGAGAGAAGGCTATGAGAGCGTCTTGGAGTCACAGTGTCTTGGAGAAGGCCGAGTGCGTCTGTTAGATACACCTATTGTGAGTAATCGAAGGCCCTGAGTGCACGATTATTCACAACCCAAAATAGATCAAAAATACGATCCGTCATGATGCGCGCGTGCAAAGCCGCGCGCAACTAGGAGTAGGCAACAGAAGGGCGGCGCGCGTCCAAAGGCAGCTAGGGTTTGGCGTGCGCGGGTATGAGGCGGCCGAGGGATTTTTATGCGTATGACTTAGAGCTCAAGAATTTGGATTGGAGTGCAAGTCAAGCAAGAATAATTATAGTAGTATTAGGATTTTATTACCATGTTGCTTTTCATTATAGAATTAGGAGATCTAATTAGACTAGGCTTAGATTTATTTTATGCACATATAAATAGGGGTATCCCCTCATTGTTTTGAATGTCTTGGAATTGATGAGTGAATAGAAAAGAACGTTTGTTCGAACCGTTTGTTAGGATTCGTGAGAGTTCGATCATGCAATCGAATTAGTTAGGCTAAGACCCGAGCTAGTTCAAAATCGAGGGAGCAAGGCTAACTACCGAGTGAACTCAAGTATCGTGAGAGAGTTAGGCTAATAACTGAGTCGATCACACCTATCCGTCGAGAGCGAGTCGTGGCGAGGCTGTGTTTGAAGCAAGCGAGTGGAACAAAACACACGATCCTTCATCAACGCGGCAGTACGCACACACCAGCAGTGCGTCGTGCACAGTCGTTCCGTAGCGCCCAACAGCGTGCCGCCAGCGGCCATGCGTGCAGTGCACGCCAGCGCGCCCGAAAGAACGCAGTCAAGCCCGTTCGTACGCCCGCAGCGTGCAGCGAGCGTGGGCAGCGCCCCAGTCGCCCGCAGCACACGCACGTACGGCCAGT